TTCTTTTTCTTTCTTTTTTCTTTTTTCTTTCTTTCTTTCTTTCTCTCTCTCTCCTTCCTTTTGTCTCTCACTCCCTTTTTTCTTTTTTTCTTTCATCTCTCTCTCTCATTCTTTTTCTTTCTTTTTTCTTTTTTCTTTCTTTCTTTCTTTCTCTCTCTCTCCTTCCTTTTGTCTCTCACTCCCTTTTTTCTTTTTTTCTTTCATCTCTCTCTCTCATTCTTTTTCTTTCTTTTTTCTTTTTTCTTTCTTTCTTTCTTCCTTTCGCTTTCTCTCTCTCTCTCTCTCTCTCTCTCTCTCTCTCTCTCTCTCTCTTCTCTCTCTCTGTGTCTGTCTGTCTGTCTGTGGCAGTGGTGGGTTTCAAATTTTTTTGGAACCTCTTCTGTAGGTTTGGCCTGCTTTCCGGGTCCACTGGTGGAACCTCTTCTAACCGGTTCAGTAGATTTGACGAACTGGTTCTACCGAACAGGTGCGAACTGGTAGGAACCCACCTCTGCCCCTATTGTAGAAGAACCTGAAATGGGCAACTGCATTGTAATGGAATGTGTGTGGGTGATGTTGGGGTTTTAGGGAAAGAGATTTTGCCTAGGAAACAATCAGACAAGAGAAGCAGGAGCCCCAGTGGATTAATGTTCAGAGGAAGAAATTTAGGAAGAATCTGCCATAATTGTTTGGGCAGCTAAGAATGGTGGCAGGAAGTTTGTATCTTCAGACTTGCAAGATCACTTTACTGAATTTTTACAATGGAGTAGAATTATCTCATCTAGTCATGTGTCCTGTCTGGTTTACCTGGGAGAGCTGACACGTATGCAACCAGGGAGATTCAGGAAAGCAGGATTGAGTGCCGGCCTAAAGTCCATTAATTACTGCAGTTTTAGAAGAATAAAAACAATAAAACTTACTTTATACTTGCGAAGTACAGAGGAGTGGCTCATGATTCTCTCGGTATCAACACCATCCCGTGGCACCACAACAATGCCAAAGTCTCCCACTATCACCTCCATCTGTTTAAATTAGAATGAATATATTTTATGGAAGCGTATATTTACAGAAACTTTCTCCTAAAAGGAATTGCAGTCCTCAGATCTTGAGAAAACCCAATTCAAAGGCTGAACCAGCATATGCATTCATAAGAACATCGAATCAATTCCTTACCCAAATCCTTGTGGGTAAATCATTTTAAAATAAATTTGGCAAGAGCTGTCTATTTTTTTGATATGGTTGTAAGAGGAATCAACTAATAAACTCCTACTACTGAAATATGAAATTATATTTATTTATATTACAAACAAAGGCCTCTCTAACCGCACTGTAAAAATCAATCATTGTCCTTTTACTATTGTCAGAACTGGGGGAAAGGAGGCCACAAACAGAGAAAGTGGAAGCAGACTGTCAATCTATAGCAATAGCAATAGCAGTTAGACTTATATACCGCTTCATAGGGCTTTCAGCCCTCTCTAAGCGGTTTACAGAGTCAGCATATTGCCCCNGAGACGTCTTTGGACAGCGCTGGCTCTTCAGCTTTGAAACGGAGATGAGCACCGCCCCCTAGAGTTGGGAACAACTAGCACGTATGTGCGAGGGGAACCTTTACCTTATTCTACTGTGGCTTAATGAGATACTTCTTAGAAGCCCACAAGTTGGGTTCATAAGCCTAGAACAAATAGCCTTTTGTTCACAGCACTGGATATCAAGACGTTTACTTCCATTGCAAATATGCATTTTTCCTTTATCTGCAGGTAAGAACCAGTTTTGACAATTTGAAAACTAAGATGGTCATGGCAGCTCATTTGGAGTCAGGTAAAATTTCTTCAAAATATTTCCTCAAAACTTTTTATTCTTGCCAATGTTTGTGGGATGGCTTACTTCACATTCTTCCCATTGTTAGCCAAGTTGCCTTCATAGTAGTCAAAAAATAAAAATAAAAAGATGAAGCAATAGGACTGAACATGGTTATATTTAACAGAGTTACACTTAATAGATGTAGGTTTAAGGCCCAAATTAATTTTATTTAATACCATGGATCTTTTGTTTTCCATTTTCTCTTTTTCCTGGGTTTCATCCTGTCCTTTATTTTCAGTTTATTTTAATCGCTGAAATGCATATATTTTTCCTTTGCAAAATCAATACAGTTCAGTTGTTATACTGGTAAATAAAAAATATGCACGGACAGAAAGAATCTGTGTTAATTTGTGGTGAATTGACATGCAATCAATGCCTTTACTTTGCATGTTTCATTGTTTATGTTAAAAATAAGTTCAAGTAAGGTTTTATCTATAAACAAGAATTGCTCAGGGGATCTGTAAGCACAACCCCTGCTGACCTCACTTTACTGCTTATTCTGCATCTCCATTTTTTAAAATCAATTTTCTGCATTAAGGCTCACTCAAAGATTACATTAAAAGGCACGTATCTTCTCAACATCTCTGGAATATCCAACCATCAACAGAAAACCCCTCATTATGCACCTCTCATTTGGAGAAGAGAATACCCTGCAAGCCATTTAATGACACAATTAGTAAACAATTTACTCCATGGTTGCAAAGTTTCCTAAAACACTCTTTTCTTAGATTACAAAGACAGCAACGGCATTTGCAAATGTTTCGTGGGGGTAGAAAATTCATTGCCACCACCCAAGAAGAGACCAGAGAGGGTGGGGTGGGGTTGGAGGGTAGGGGGAGAAAGAGTAATTGTGTAGGATTTGTGCCAGATGCTAAGAAGGTTCAATAAAAACTTCTGCCTATATGAGCTGTCATTGAAACCATCCTTCTGAATGAGAAGCATTAGTCAAAAATTCCAATTTACATTAGAGGGAATTTGTTTATATGTAACAGAAAACCCAAAACAGAGACAAGCCAACAAAATATGCTTCCATTATTGCAATGAAAATACACCAATACTGTAGGACTCATTACCAAGGCTTTGTTATCCCTGTGTGGAAACCATGCTCATACATACTCAGACAATGATGGGATGATGGGGACAAGGAGAAGACAAATTGTGGTGGGAAAATGCTCAGATTCTCCTCTTTCTCCTCCTCCCACATGTTCAGAAGAAGCATGGGAACCCTTTTAAGGGTTCGGTAAGAGCCGAGGTGGCGCAATGGTTAAATGTAGCACTGCAGGCTATTTCAGCTGACTGCAGTTCTGCAGTTCGGCTGTTCAAATCTCACCGGCTCAGGGTTGACTC